TGAGGTAATCATGTGGAGTAAGGTAAAGTAAAGTAATAAACGGCAAACGAGCATCGAAAAGTACTAACAGGAACCTACAAAAATTGCGAATTATATCAAAAATACTCGTGTTTGACATTTGAAATGAGGTGCGGTATAGTTGTACAGCCCAGCATAATAGATCCGCAATAAGTAGATCCCGATTTAGTTGAAGTGTGCTTCACCATAGCTGTCTTTGTAGGTGCGATGGTAGACGAACTCATTCACACATTGTATGATGCCATCGTCAAAATAGGGATCGGCTCGCACAAATAGATATTTTGACTTTCTGAAACAGTGCTTTTGTATGTGCATTGTGCAATCCCCGTTACAGCTCAAAATGGGAAGATGGATTTGTATAAGTGGCCTTATTTACTTGAAAAATGTACGCATTTAGTTCTATGAAAATTTATAACAAAATATGCTGCAAAAATATTAAGCAGCTGAGTCGTGGTTGTTCCTTCAGCATAAACTCAAATGTAAGATAAGAAAAAGATAAAATGAAAAGTGGAAAGGGGATACTGTACCACACCATATTTCGTAATAAAGAACCGCAATGTTCGATGAAGAGTAGTGCAACCTTCACGAGTAGAAGATGCCACTCAAGGCCATTTAGCTTAAAACTATTGCTGGGGCATATCTTATTGTATTCTTTTCTTTGGAAAAAAGATTATCTAATTTCACTTCAGATTTCTGCTTTAAACCTTCTAAATTCCATTCTATTTATATTCAGCAGAAATGAGTTTTTTACAACAGTCTCTTTTTCAAAAATTCCCACTTTAGTTGACTAAAAAAGTAATTAAAACTAACAGCGTCTCTTCGTAGTCTTCCATGCCAACAATACAATTTCCTCTACTATCGAATCGCTTGGTATGACATACATCTAAGGCGACATTTTTGTCGAATTTGGGTGACAATGGCTGAAAAATCACAATTCCGAACTATTTTATGATTGGACGACTCTGACATGTAGTATATTGAAATACAACTTATGCAGAAACAGGAGAGATATAGTAATTATCTACATACAGATAGTCTTTTTTCTCCGCAGAAAAGGCTAGTCTATGCTGCAAATTTGCGTTGAAATATGAATGTTGGTCGCTAGTCGCTCTTACCTCACAATTCTCCAGACTCTGTCCTTCCATATATTTAAATAAAACAGGTTGAAAGGATCGTGGCAGCATGATTGGAAACCGTCGTGTGGTAAACCATGTGCATAAAGATCTTTTCAAAAACTCTGAAAGAGAAAAGTTTGCGCAAGAAACTCTGAGATTGTTACGTCATTAACCTTGATCCTGTTTGCTGGCTTTGGTTAAATCATCGCCGAGAATTCGGGTATGTTCTTCAGAAATGGTTACTCTACCAATCCGAGCTGCGTTCTGAAGACGTCGAGCATTGTCGGCGATATGGTGAATGGAATGGATAGGCATTTCATTTTCCTCAATCGTTAGTTGTAAGAACAAGTCAATTTATCTGTTTTACTACCTCAGTGATGACAGTGTGTTTCCATTGATATTTTTCCATGCCATGATAACAGGAGTTTAAAGCAATAAATGTACCATCAGCACTTGTTGTGTTGTATGTTCCAGGAGGAACAATAATGTTTAGAACGCATTCTCCAAGCTTGCGCACCTGCATGAAACTTAAAAAAAGAGTTTGAAAATTATTAGCGAATTTCCCACCAACTGCTCGAATTTGAAAGAGGCACTGCTGTCAATGACAAAGCAGTAGAAATGAAGTGGAGAATACATCATTGTCATAACTTCCTCCAAAAAGTCATAATTCTGTAATTAAAAAGGCTGTTTGATGCGTGGATGATTAAATGACTAAATATGTGTTAAAAATATATTATAGCAGGCACTTTGCTGACGATCCTCAGAAAGTACATGTTGTGATGAACTTCCATATTGTCCGGAATTTCAGTCGGAAGATATCGCCGCTTTCGTATCAAGAAACACCTACAGGGCAATATTTCAGATCCCTCTCTCGGTCCTTTTCCATAAATCCCAACCTACTTAGTTTCGTTTATGTCGATTTGGTGGTGGATTACAGTACGATTTTGTTTATACTCTTCTAAACGCTTCTTCCCGTTTGCTCCTTCGTAAATGTTACAATCCATGTGGATGAGCAGTGGCGCTGGATTGAAGACGTGAAGGCTGGAATTACAAGAGATTTTCAGTTCAAGTTGGTTTTACTGTACGCCGACGGCATCAATCCCGTGGTACAGAGTACAGAAAAAGAAACTTTTCCAGAAAGTGATGTGCAGAATTTGATGGAGTATGTATCTTTTGTGGTAAATGTGATACAATGATTACTGAGATGCATATGATTATCTTTGTTCTATAATTATATTTTTCGAACTTACAGTAGTCTCAGAAAGATCGACTTTTCGATGGGCTCGCATTCATCATCTAAGAACTTTCACAGATCTCGAGCTAGGTATGGCTCATTTTGTTCATTAAAACTTTTGTTTGTAAGGAACTTGTTAATTCTAATAATAAGCTATATCAAAGTGAACCAAATCTTTTAAAAATTTAGTATCCCTCAAGCATAAAGAGAATATAAGGGCTGAAATACTATAATTATCCTAAGAACCTTACCTCCATGAAACATAGACAACCAGTGAGATGAAGAGCGTTACGAGTATTGTGAGCGGCACAATTGGACAACAGATTCTTGCACTGGGTAACATGCTGCAATTATATGAACTATAACTTACAAAAATATTTATACAGGGCAGGTATGGGGATAAAGGGTATATAGGGGTAATTTATACAGGATAGTTGTCTAAATTGCACTATTATAACAAATTAAGGGTTGCTTACACTAAGACAGAGTGCAGCAAAGGTGAAAGTTAACTGCATGTGCCAATTCAGCTCTAAATTAAGTTTGTAATTCCTACAAAATATTAATTTTAAAGTAACAATGCAGGGGATGCCTTGAGTGAGAACAAAAAAGCATCATCCAAACGACTGACGAAAAAACATCACAGTTTATTTGAGGTTTATAAATTGTATTGGAATGTCACTCTTTTGCAGTAACTAGAGAGATTAAGCTCAAAAGTTCTATTGTTTCATAATAATTTGCTGAATAATATTCCATGAATTTTTTGACGATTTCGCACTAGGAAGTCCTGACCGATTGCTGTATACTTTCAAAGCTTTCCTACTCCACAAAAAGCTCACATTTCCCTAAGGCTTTTTGAAATGACTGACTTTTGAGCAGAAATTGAATTTCAGGTCGACAGCAAACAACATTTTTGACAGTATTTCTTCTGAACAATGCTAACCTACCTGCAACAGGCTCATATATGTTCCGTTTATTTAGAAGATGTCATATCCTATGGTGCTGCTGAATGTTGGTTCATTATGTTGAATTATTGGTCTTCATAGCACTCTGCACACCAGTAGACTATCTCACTTGGAGGGTAATTATGTTCTAAACCTTACCCTGGGATATTCATATTTTTCGAGCATTTTCCAAAAAGACAGACAAGAGATAGCCTTTGATGCAAAGTATCTCTATAATTATTGCAAGGGTCCCTAGAAAGGTCTCACGGTTCCGCTTAATGCCAGTGACAAATTTTCTTTTAAAAAATGGAAGGGCGAATAGAATTTCAAGAAGTCGCGGATTTATAAAGAATCAGGGTGTCGAAAATGCTGATTTTCTTTTGGATGCAGTATAGGATTTTTTGGCTTATAATATCACAAATGTTTGGATGATAAAAATTGTAGAATAGGAGGGCGGTATCAGAATGCATACAATATATACATCCTGTCGAAATTTTGAGTACGGAAAAATGAGCGTTAGAAAAAAAATCGTGGAAGCTTGTGTAACAGCCTATATTTCGAGGATAGACTCATTAATTGTTACACTGTCGCTCTTTTTGTAGATCTAACAACAGCAATCTAAGAAAAACAATTACTAGGCTTGTTTAGCACCATTAGATCACACATTATAAAATTATTTTGCATTGACATTAGAATTGGCATCGCCATCAAATTCAAGCTTTTAGATGATATACCAATCTGAAGACATTATTTTAAAGTATACTAATTTTGTTTTTGATTACGACTGATAATAGCCTCTTCTTACTTCGCATATCA